AGCAAATGAGAGAGTGGGTGAGATGTTATCAACGAATTTTGTTAAAAATAAGAAAAAGTTTTGGAGTGAGATTAACAAGTTAAGAAAGCCTAGAGAACAAATGGATTTGTCAGTTAAAAATAGGAGAGGAGAGTTATTAAATGGAGAGTTAGAGGTATTGGGAAGATGGAGGGAATATTTTGAGGAATTTTTAAATGTTGATGAAGATAGGGAAGCTGTGATTTCGTGTATAGGGCAAGGAGGAATAACATCTTGTAGGAGTGAGGAAGAGCCAGTTGTGAGTGTGGGGGAAGTTCGTGAGGCAGTAGGTAAAATGAAAGGGGGTAAGGCAGCCAGGATTGATGGGATAAAGATAGAAATGTTAAAAGCAGGTGGGGATATAGTTTTGGAGTGGTTGGTGCAATTATTTAATAAATGTATGGAAGAGGGTAAGGTACCTAGGGATTGGCAGAGAGCATGCATAGTTCCTTTGTATAAAGGCAAAGGGGGTAAAAGAGAGTGCAAAAATTATAGGGGGATAAGTCTGTTGAGTATACCTGGTAAAGTGTATGGTAGAGTTATTATTGAAAGAATTAAGAGTAAGACGGAGAATAGGATAGCAGATGAACAAGGAGGCTTTAGGAAAGGTAGGGGGTGTGTGGACCAGGTGTTTACAGTGAAACATATAAGTGAACAGTATTTAGATAAGGCTAAAGAGGTCTTTGTGGCATTTATGGATTTGGAAAAGGCGTATGACAGGGTGGATAGGGGGGCAATGTGGCAGATGTTGCAGGTGTATGGTGTAGGAGGTAGGTTACTGAAAGCAGTGAAGAGTTTTTACGAGGATAGTGAGGCTCAAGTTAGAGTATGTTGGAAAGAGGGAAATTATTTCCCAGTAAAAGTAGGCCTTAGACAAGGATGTGTGATGTCACCGTGGTTGTTTAATATATTTATAGATGGGGTTGTAAGAGAAGTAAATGCGGTGGCCTGGTGGCTAAAGCTCCCGCTTCACACACGGAGGGCCCGGGTTCGATTCCCGGCGGGTGGAAACATTTCGACACGTTTCCTTACACCTGTTGTCCTGTTCACCTAGCAGCAAATAGGTACCTGGGTGTTAGTCGACTGGTGTGGGTCGCATCCTGGGGGACAAGATTAAGGACCCCAATGGAAATAAGTTAGACAGTCCTCGATGACGCACTGACTTTCTTGGGTTATCCTGGGTGGCTAACCCTCCGGGGTTAAAAATCCGAACGAAATCTTATCTTATCTTATCTTGGCAAGAGGCGTGGAGTTAAAAGATAAAGAATCACACACAAAGTGGGAGTTGTCACAGCTGCTCTTTGCTGATGACACTGTGCTTTTGGGAGATTCTGAAGAGAAGTTGCAGAGATTGGTGGATGAATTTGGTAGGGTGTGCAAAAGAAGAAAATTAAAGGTGAATACAGGAAAGAGTAAGGTTATGAGGATAACAAAAAGATTAGGTGATGAAAGATTGGATATCAGATTGGAGGGAGAGAGTATGGAGGAGGTGAATGTATTCAGATATTTGGGAGTGAACGTGTCAGCGGATGGGTCTATGAAAGATGAGGTGAATCATAGAATTGATGAGGGGAAAAGGGTGAGTGGTGCACTTAGGAGTCTGTGGAGACAAAGAACTTTGTCCTTGGAGGCAAAGAGGGGAATGTATGAGAGTATAGTTTTACCAACGCTCTTATATGGGTGTGAAGCATGGGTGATGAATGTTGCAGCGAGGAGAAGGCTGGAGGCAGTGGAGATGTCATGTCTGAGGGCAATGTGTGGTGTGAATATAATGCAGAGAATTCGTAGTTTGGAAGTTAGGAGGAGGTGCGGGATTACCAAAACTGTTGTCCAGAGGGCTGAGGAAGGATTGTTGAGGTGGTTCGGACATGTAGAGAGAATGGAGCGAAACAGAACGAATTCAAGAGTGTATCAGTCTGTAGTGGAAGGAAGGCGGGGTAGGGGTCGGCCTAGGAAAGGTTGGAGGGAGGGGGTAAAGGAGGTTTTGTGTGCGAGGGGCTTGGACTTCCAGCAGGCATGCGTGAGCGTGTTTGATAGGAGTGAATGGAGACAAATGGTTTTTAATACTTGACGTGCTGTTGGAGTGTGAGCAAAGTAACATTTATGAAGGGGTTCAGGGAAACCGGCAGGCCGGACTTGAGTCCTGGAGATGGGAAGTACAGTGCCTGCACTCTGAAGGAGGGGTGTTAATGTTGCAGTTTAAAAACTGTAGTGTAAAGCACCCTTCTGGCAAAACAGTGATGGAGTGAATGATGGTGAAAGTTTCTTTTTCGGGCCACCCTGCCTTGGTGGGAATTGGCCAGTGTGATAAAAAAAAATAAAAAAAATTTGTTACTATAGTAAAGAATTTGTTTGTTTTTTCACTTTTGATTATTAAAAGGGGGCTTCATTTTGTTTACAGTGAACCCTCTAATTAATGAACTAAGGGTGAGGGGTGTACAATGTTGCCAATTGTCTGAAAGTTCCGAATTATGATATGAAATTTTCACAACCTGGTTGTTTTCTGAGCAAGTGGACTTGGTTTGTTAGGCTAGTCCAGAAGACAACCAGGCACTAGAAATGTGGGTTTTGTAACATTTAGGACCACAGTACAGTACTGTAATTTTATTGTATAATACGTTATTTACAGTAATTTTATTTACATACTTTTTCCTGGAGGAGAGAAGAGGTGTAAATTGTCATGATCAATAATGGAAACTCCAGAGTAACTTTTATTCTGAGTCAATCAGCTATTAAGCTATGCTAGTGAAAATATTGTAGACCGACTGATAGCCGAGAGGATGTGCTACCGAAACACCAAATTCAACTTCCTTTATTAGTTCAAGTTTCTTCATAGTGAGATCCACTATGAAAGGTTGGACATAAGAATAAATGTGTAGGAGCTTACTACTGGGATTTAGGGGCATCAGGCAACTCTGAGTAGGAGGTGTATGGTATTCTCCCTGCAGGAATTGGGCTATGGCCTGGTTATACTGTACAACAAACCCTCCTCCTCCAACACCAAACACTACTTTTCCAAAGGAAAACAAGGCATTAATGAGACTAAGAAGAAGGATGTGCTTTTATGAAGTTGACAGGAAGAGAGGCAGTCAAGTTGGGTTGTTAAGATCTATGTCTTCAGACCAGACATTGTACCCATGAGCTGCAATACATTGTTGGGTGGCCACAGAGCCTGAAGTGGCATTGCTGTGGTGAGGATTTGAATTCCTTTACAGGCAGTCACTGACTTGTAATACATTATTACATCCATAAGGGAGTGCTAAACCTGTATGGGTCATATGGCACTGAGGGAATGGGAGGTTTCAGGTTTGATCCAAGGAAAACAGGACAAGTTCAGTTCCTTGAATCAAGAACTCCTTACCAGTATTGATAGACAGTAGAACATGACACAAAGTGCAACTGTAGGCAGCATAAACGAGAAGGGTTGCAGTGTGGGAAGGGGAGATGTAATACAGAGTTTGACCCACAGGTGGATGAAACCACTCTCGAAGTTGCACAGCCCCACTTACAATTGTTTGTATGAGAGTTACTCAAGTTTTCCAGGTCTAAACTTCAACCATTTGTTGCCATATGTTTCAGTGATTAAATCTGTCCTGCAGCTGGAATCATAAATTTCTGCACAGACTGTACTTCTTTCTTTCAACATACCGGCCATATCCCACTGAGGCGGGGTGGCCCAAAAGGAAAAACAAAAGTTTCTCCTTTTACATTTAGTAATATATACAGGAGATGGGGTTACTAGCCCCTTGCTCCCGGCATTTTAGTCGCCTCTTACAACACGCATGGCTTACGGAGGAAGAATTCTGTTCCACTTCCCCATGGAGATAAGAAATAAACAAGAATAAGAACTAGAAAGAAAATAGAAGAAAACCCAGAGGGGTGTGTATATATGTGCTTGTACATGTATGTGTAGTGTGACCTAAGTGTAAGTAGAAGTAGCAAGACATACCTGAAATCTTGCATGTTCACGAGACAAAAAAGGACACCAGCAATCCTACCATCATATAAAACAATTACAGGCTTTCGTGTTACACTCACTTGGCAGGATGGTAGTACCTCCCTGGGTGGTTGCTGTCTACCAACCTACTACCTAGGACAGACTGTACTTATCTTTATATTAACAACTGTGTGCCATCTGAATGACTTTAGCACAGTACTAGAGCAGTGTGTTAGCACCTTCCATTTTTCACAACTAAGGGTGCTTCACTGGAACTGGAATAAGCATTTCTGGTCTCCTCTTCTGTCAAATACTAAGATTGCATTTGCAAGTTTAACTGACTGATCCACAGCAATTTTATTCCCATTACTCCATTTCCATAATACTTTTTAACCATTTAAACTTTTAATTTAATATAGTAATAATAATTTTATTAATTCAATGGTCTTCTGACAAGGAAGGGTGACACAAAGAAATTGCATTCACCATTATTTGTTCAACTGCCATCTTTCTAGTAGTGTGCTGACATTACAGTCAGATTACCCTCTGACTGCAACATCCCCACCCTGTCCTTCAGTGCAGGAACTGCTCTTCCCACATCAAGATTCAAACCTGGCTGACTGTTTTCCCTGAATCCCTTCATAAAAGTTTCCTTGCCCATACCAACAACTCATCCATTATGAACCCCCTGTCTCCATTCACTAATGTGCTTGCACAAGCTTGATGAATAACCAAATTTATTGCACTTAATTTATACCAAAAACTGCATACCAACTTTGCTCGCTAATATTTTTGGCTATACTACAGATAAAAAAATAATCAAACAATCTAGATTTGATCTTAGGTCTCAGACAAATGTGTTACTGTTCTCACACCCCTGCAAATTTTGCAGTTCAGGACCTTCTGATCAACAAATTAGCCCTTTAATAATGTACAACCATCATATTTTAAATTAAGCTTTTTACCATCACTACACGATTTTTTTAAATGAAAATGCCTTGCCAAAACATTTAGTAGTCGTCATAAATGGAAAGAATAAATCGACTGTAATTGGTAATTTATTTTAAATATCCTGTACATGTATATATAAAAACTTAAAAGGTTCTTTAAATTCATAAATAAATTTAGAACGCAAATTTGCGTAGCTGAGCTCTTCATTTACTAGATGCAATGAAAACTATTCAAAATACTACCTCTAAATGTTGCAATAGATATGAATGGAGTTTCTTAATAAAAATAACTATTCCATTTTAACCATGGCATTTATTTTATAAAAGTTTCTATATGAATAAAACAAAGCACAATGAACAATATGTTAACCTAAGTACTACATATAAATTTTTGTATTTACACATCCTTTAACAAAATTAACAAATATAGATTTCAGTCCTGTCAATCTTACATGAAGTCTTACTGCTTAATCAGCTAAGAGCTCTTCTTCATCCAGATTTAAATCCTGAAAATAAATGAAATAAATATAAGGCAACTATTGTACAATCTTTCAACTAGTTTCCAAAATAACTTAAATGAACAAAGGCACTGCAGAAAGAGAAATATAATCTACACTTATCCCCTTATATTAAATTCAAGAGGGCAAATTTATTCCCAAGGAAAAAATAAATAAATATTATTCCAATTAAGTACAGTCAAATCCCCAAATCTGTGAGCCATGAAATTCAATTTATACCTTTCTTACTGAAGGACATCTCATTAATTAACTCTGATTATTCTCAAGTTTTTTTTGCAGTGCCCATTTTTATGGCTTGGTTTATGACCCTCTAAACTCTAACCAAAAGATTCAATTCGAATTGTGCTTCATGATTTTCCCATACCCAAATTTATTTTTTTTATACTCCAGAATAGAGTAATATTTAAAGAAATGTGACCATAAACAAAGAGAACAAATACACAAGTATCCCACATATAGGAGAGAGAGAAGCTTATGATGATGTTTAGGTCCAACTTGGACCGAAACATCATTTTAAGTTCCTCTCTCCTATGTGTGGGTAATTTGTGTATTATTCCAGTCCCGGTATTGTGCCTTTTTGTTCTTTAACTCTTTAAGGGTCGACAGGCCCTCTCCGAAACTTGTTCTCAGGGTCGGCCAAATTTCAAAAAGAAAAAAAATTATTTTTTCTTATGAAAAGATAGAGAATTTTTTCCCGATCATAATGACACCAAAAGTATGAAATTTGATGGAAAACTTACGGAATTATGCTCTCGCGAAGTTAGCGGTCTCGACGATGTTTACGCATCGGCGATTTTGCCCACTTTGACCCCTATTTTCGGCCAATTCCAATGTACTAGTCGACAAAAATCATAACTATTTCGCTAGAACTCCATTTTTTCTATCGAATGAGTACAAGAAACCACCCATTTACCAATTTCAACTATCCAATAAAGTGGTCAGAATTTAGCAATTTTGCCAATTTCACACAAATTTCAAAAGATGCCAATTTCCGAATAGGGTCCAGAATAAACAAAAAAGACATTCCTGGCACTAAAATAACAAGTTCTCTGTTCGTTAGTCACATCCCCAGGCCCCTCTTATATTTCTTTGACTTTCCACTTTGAATTTTTATTCTTACAAAAAATAGAAGATTTACTGTTATGCAGACTACTGCATTAGTGTAGAAATGGTATAAATAATATCAGCGCACTTGTGAAAGAATATTAGACTCGCCAGTTGACGTGTATTGGACTCTTGGGATGATTTGTTTCCTTTTGAACTTTGATAAAAATCGAGCATTTCTGCTACTTTGCGCTCAATTTCAAGGTACTTTTCATTGAAAAACCAGTCAAAATCATCTCAATTTCTGTAATATGTCTCCCATTCTATAAAATGAGACCAAGAAAACTAGAATACAACAATAAATACCATACGAAAATACAGTGCAAAGTCCCTGTTTTATTCCAAAAACACTGTCAAAGATTTTTTTTCTCATTACACACTGTGCTCCAGGATTTTTTTTATACTGCACACACTGGCCACATAGACCCATTCTTTCATATGTAGGCCTACCAGCTTTCTCTCATTAGATTTGAGGGCGCTAGAATTTAGACGTACTAGTACGTCAAAAACACTGGGTCGTAAGCCGTACTAGTACGACCAAAACCCTCAAAGGGTTAAAGAGAACAAATCTTTTAACAGAATTTTTTGTAAGGATACAAATTTGTATTATTCATTAATTCAATGTTTACAAGACCTGAAGGAATGTAACCCTTGTGAATTCAAGGGTTATACTATCAGGTTGGGAAACAAGTCCTATAACCATCTTTTTTTTTTTTTTTTTTCAACAAGTCGGCCGTCTCCCACCGAGGCAGGGTGACCCAAAAAAAAAAAGAAAGAAAATCCCCAAAAAGAAAATACTTTCATCATCATTCAACACTTTCACCACACTCGCACATTATCACTGTTTTCGCAGAGGTGCTCAGAATACAACAGTTTAGAAGCATTCACATATAAAGATTCACAACATATCCCTCCAAACTGCCAATATCCCAAACCCCTCCTTTAAAGTGCAGGCATTGTACTTCCCATTTCCAGGACTCAAGTCTGACTATATGAAAATAACCGGTTTCCCTGAATCCCTTCACTAAATATTACCTTGCTCACACTCCAACAGATCGTCAGGTCCCAAGTACCATTCGTCTCCATTCACTCCTATCTAACACGCTCACGCACGCTTGCTGGAAGTCCAAGCCCCTTGCCCACAAAACCTCCTTTACCCCCTCTCTCCAACCCTTTCGAGGACGACCCCTACCCCGCCTTCCTTCCCCTATAGATTTATATGCTTTCCATGTCATTCTACTTTGATCCATTCTCTCTAAATGACCAAACTACCTCAACAACCCCTCTTCTGCCCTCTGACTAATACTTTTATTAACTCCACACCTTTTCCTAATTTCCACACTCCGAATTTTCTGCATAATATTTACACCACACATTGCCCTTAAACAGGACATCTCCACTGCCTCCAACCATCTCCTCGCTGCTGCATTTACCACCCAAGCTTCACACCCATATAAGAGCGTTGGTACTACTATACTTTCATACATTCCCTTCTTTGCCTCCATAGATAAAGTTTTTTGACTCCACATATACCTCAATGCACCACTCACCTTTTTTCCCTCACCAATTCTATGATTAACCTCATCCTTCATAAATCCATCCGCCGACACGTCAACTCCCAAGTATCTGAAAACATTCACTTCTTCCATACTCCTCCTCCCCAATTTGATATCCAATTTTTCTTTATCTAAATCATTTGATACCCTCATCACCTTACTCTTTTCTATGTTCACTTTCAACTTTCTACCTTTACACACATTCCCAAACTCATCCACTAACCTTTGCAATTTTTCTTTAGAATCTCCCATAAGCACAGTATCATCAGCAAAAAGTAACTGTGTCAATTCCCATTTTGAATTTGATTCCCCAAAATTTAATCCCACCCCTCTCCCGAACACCCTAGCATTTACTTCCTTTACAACCCAATCTATAAATATATTAAACAACCATGGTGACATTACACATCCCTGTCTAAGACCTACTTTTACCGGGAAGTAGTCTCCCTCTCTTCTACACACCCTAACCTGAGCCACACTATCCTCATAAAAACTCTTTACAGCATTTAATAACTTACCACCTATTCCATATACTTGCAACATTTATTTTCAATTAAATTTGCATTGTGAACACTCTGAATAGCAAATTTAGAATGGGATATAAAAATGCTGCATCTCTAACTTGAATATTATATACTGCATTTACATGTTAAGTTTTATTCCTCTAGTATATCAAGATACTGTGCGATGTTTTTTTTGACAAGCCACTTATTTTCCTGTAGCAAAAATGGCAAGTCATACTGTTATCAAATTAGAGTTTAAAAAACTGGCATTCTAACATACTGAAGGATCAAGATCTTCATACAGTGTAAACAATACAGACAAGTAGGAAACTAATAGTGCAAATGATAAAAATAACGATAAAATTAATGAAGGGAAGCTATGTAAATGAAAGTGCACACACTGGTATAAATTATGAAAGAACAGTTCTTAACAAAATAAATGAAAAATGCCTTTTTAAAATCTTTATATTACTGGAACAGATATATTTTCAAATCCCAAAGTGGGAAGTGGGACCCAGCTGAAAGTTAAGATGATTCAGAAGTACAGTAATTACAGGAAAATATGAACATTTAATTGGATACAATGTGAAAACTATTAAAAAATGTACAAGGTCCATAGAACTGATTATCAAGCACAATCAACTTAAAAAAAAAAAAAAAAAAAGCAATACGTATCTTACATTAGGGTCAACGTTGTCTTCTATGCGCACTTTCTCAAGATCCAGCTCCAATTCACGTTCCAGCTGAGCTTGATCAATTGTCACTCTAGCACTTGCACCTGTTTAAATGTAAGTACATGTACAGAGAAACTAAGAAACAGCATATGTACTGTATTAAATTAATTACAGTATATATTATCTTTGAATGAAACCATTACATAGATATGAACACATTAATATAAATGCAAGTATATAAATTATTTATGTACGTATGTGGTATAAGGAAGAAATTGCTTATGTGAGAGAGAGGTGGTATATAAAAGATTAAAAAAAAGAAAAATCTTTACATGTAAGCAAAATTAAAATACAGCATAAACATTGAGATTTTGTCAGTGCTAAACTAAATCCAAAGGAAAAAAAAAATTGCTGATGTGTATGTTCCACTACAGAATAAGATTGTGGTTCCAGGTAAAAAATATTTGGGTCAAACTTATTATATGTTCTATCTTGCACAGTAGATGCAAAATAACTATGTAATGTTCTAATACTGTACATGTAATAATAACTAAATATAAATCAAAATGATGCATATAAAAACTTCCTGAGAGAATTTAATAGTGATGGTGAGTAAATGGCCTACCAGGGTGCACATGTTAATGTTTACAGATGAGGTAAACCTAACAGAATAAGAATAAAAACTGCAAAACGGCCTAAGACAGGTCGCAGGAAAAGTAAGAAATTTGTTTCAGACTTCAAGCCCAGCAAGGATAAAGTAATAAAGCTTGACACTAGGATTATCATCATCATCACCACTGAGAAGTGCTGAACCCATAGGGGTTGTACAGGAACTAGAATAAACCACATAGGCTCACTCCTCCTTCCAGGGATTGAACCAGTGCCCTCCCTGAAAATAGCTGGGAGTGTGGACACTTAACTATGTACTAAAGTGGCAATAGTGTATATTTATTTCCCTTCTCCTTGCAAAGATTGAATACTTTAACTTCCTGACAAGAACTTGTAGTGTTACCAAAAATGGGGGAGCAACTCACTGAATCTGGTAAAAGACCTTTAAACAGACATCACTCCATCTGTCTTGAAGGACAGAAGTTGACGAAGTATGGCACTGCCAATAACAGTTTAAGAAAACACACATTTTGTACAAACATGTAATCCAAGTTGAAGACAAAGATCAATAAAGCTCCAAGGCTCACTACCAAACTAGTACTAGAGTAGAAAAGGAAGAGATATGATGAGACTGCACAAACACCCTCATGAGTGAAAAATAATTTTTTTGCAATAGACAAAGTGGAGGAAACAATGAAAGGATGCTTGACAAAGAATAATCCAGGAACCTGAGAGCAATACAGTTGCTGATTCAAACATGAATTAAAATATGCGAGTGCTGGATTATGCTAGTGTATGTAAAGGTGTGGGCCCCTGGAACTGAAGCTCAACTATTCTACACTCTCAGCTACATTAGTGACACTCCACTAATGCATTGTTGCTCAAAATGTTTGTTGTCTGTACCATCATTTGAATTACACTACTAATAAAACGAATCATAGGTTAACGAGATAACACTAGGACTCTCTTCAGAAATAAGGCCGATGCCAATAACATCAAATATGTGAATTGTGACACTTCATGTACTAAGTGCTAATCTATAGATTTCATGCTCCTACAAAATTAATATTAAAAACTCCTGCAAGTCTTGTAGTGTTCCAAAAATGGGGAGCACTCCTGATCTGGTTAAACTTAAACAACATTAACTCCATGTTTAAGACAAAAGTTGACGAAGTATTGTGTAATGACTTAAAAAAACAATTTTGTACTAAACATGTAATCCAATTGAATATAATTTCTAATTATAAGCTCACAGGCCATTACCACCAGCTAGGTAGAGAGGGAATGATGAAGATGCACAAACACCTCATGAGTGAAAAATAATTTTTTGCATAGACAAAGGGTAGGTAAACAATGAAAGGATGCTTGACAAAGAATAATCCGCCAGACATCAGTTGCATTCAAAATGAATTCAACATATGCGAGGCTGGATTATGCCTGTGTTGTTAAAGGTGTGGGCCCTGGAACTGAAGCTCAACTTTCTACACTCTCAGACTACACTTAGTAACTCCACTAATGCATTGTTGCTCAATGTTGTTGTCTGTACCTCATTTGAATTACACTACTAATAAAAGCATCTAGCTAAACTGAGTAACAAATGACTCTTAGCAAAACCTCCAAGGCCCTGCAACTCCAATGTTTACAGTTCACTGCCCCAAATGTGCTATTCCTTCAAGAAATCAAAGCCTAACACAATAACGGTTAAAACCTACAGTTTGTTACGCAGATCCTGCCTCTTTCCCCCTCCCCTTCGTTCATCACCATTCAACATTACAGTGATGGTATAACAGAAATCAAAACTGGTTAAGCTCCAAATATATTTTTTAGACTGTATCCATAAAAACTAACATTAATGCCTTCAACATTAACATCTATCATTCAAATTTTTTAATATTACATCATATGACCAACATTAATCCAGACTGCAATGTATATGCAAATGATTTATATTTCATAAAAAATATAAAAATACAAAGAAAAAATTAATGAAAACTATGCCACAAATTGAGTACATTTAAACAATTTTATATTTAAATTGTTTAAATATTCGTTACACTATTATATTGTATGTGCATGTTACAAAACTATGTAGTACCATATTAGTATTCAACATGTCCCCCCCATTTCAAATATTTACTCGTGCAATATTCTGGCTCTTCAAAACTGTATAGTGCAAAACCTGTGTATTCACATTATTAATATGAGAGTGAAGCAAATACAAGTGTGAAAACAAGTATGGCTTTCCTTTAGTTAAGAATAAATCAAGAATGATGTATTCTGAATTATATAGACCATTTACTCTAATTCCACAATTGCACTATATCAAGACAATTAGTGGGAAGCTGGCAAGTGATTAGTCATATTTCTACACTTTCAACTATTCCTTTTCAATATACAGAAACAAATTTTGAGGACCTATATGGTCTTACACAATATTAGGTGGCACATTTGGAGTATTACATAAACAGAAAACTAGATCCAAGTAAATTAACATCTTGAGTACAATCCAAATTAATGAGTTATTTCAAACACATGCACCACCACCATTCCAAACAAAATATATTCAGCACTGCAAGCCCAATAAAACATATCAAGAAAAATCACCATTTACTGCAACAAAACCCTAAGCATTTCAGAAGACATTCTGGTTAATAAAGGCATTTTTTCAAAATATATCTACTGTGGTATTGCATTTGAATCTACAAATATATTAAGTGTTTTTTCTTGATTGAATAAAGCAATAAAAACAATATCAGAAGAAACATTTTTTAAAAGGCCTAAAATCAGACTGAATTCATTAACTATGTTTAACCATTCCCTTCACACCTAATACATACTGTACCTCAATGTTTTAACCTGTATGTTGAAAAGGCAACTAAAATCATCAAACATGAACAAGCCTTTATTACAGTGCTTCACTTGGTATAAGCTTTAAGTCAATGGTAGGAACACCAAAATGCAAGCTGATCTATCCAGTAGCAGTGGGAAAACTGGATGAAAAGGAAAGAGGAAAGGGGAGGAGGAAGGATACACTAAAAGTACAAGATTTAATAGGCCTTGTTAATTTACATTAACTAGCTTGACAAAATGGTAGTAATTCTGCAGGGAGAAAAGTGATATAAAATGCATCTTGATTCTATTATACAGTTGCAAAACTCAAGATTACTACAGCCAGCATCTGTCTCCTCTTTTGTATCTCGTTTTTATAAGTCATACCCTGGTTATGCCCGTGTCAGTGAACCACATGCCAAGCTTTTTAATATTAATGTCTTGACATTTTACCTACAAGGGATACCGTAGATGCCCATTCTGACATCCCTGTTGCTTTAAGTAGTCACTTTGGTGGTTTTTATAGTTTTAATTGTAGGATATGTGACAAGAACATGGAAAACAAAAGCAGCAATTACCTTTCAGAAAAGGTGATCCTTCTATCAGGTTCACAACCCCCCCCCCCTCCCCTCCTAGTATTATTTAAGATTTTTGTTCCCCTATCTCTGCATCCCTTAACCCTTTGACTGTTTTCGACGTATAAATACGTCTTACGAGCCAATGTTTCTGACGTATATATACTCAATAATTCTAGCGGCTTCAAATCAAGTGGGAGAAAGCTGGTAGGCCCACATGTGAGAGAATGGGTCTGTGTGGTCAGTGTGCACCACATAAAAAAAATCCTGCAGCACACATTGCGTAATGAGAAAAAAAAAACTCTGAACGTTTTTTTGGAATAAAACGCCGACTTTGAGGTGTATTTTCATATAGTATTTATCGTTGTATTCGCGTTTTCATGGTCTTAGTTGATAAAATGGAAAACATATTACAGAAATAGAGATGATTTTCATTATATTTACGATGAAAACGACCTTGAAACTGAGCTCAAAGTAGCGGAAATGTTCGATTTTTACCAATGTTCAAGAGTAAATAAATCACGCCACACGTCCAATACACATCAACTGGGGAGTCTAATATTCTTTCACTAGTGCAGATATTATTTATACCATTTTTACAATAATGCAGTCGTCTGCATAACAGTAAATTTTGTGTTTTTTTGTATGAATAAAAAATCAAAATAGAAAGCAATAATAATATAAAAGGGGCCTAGAGATGTGACTAATGAACAGAGCATATGTTATTTTAGTGCCACGAATGTCTACCTTGTTTATTCTGGACCCTATTTTGAAATTGGCATCTTTTTTATTTTGCGTGAAATTGGCCAAATTGCCAATTTCTGACCACCATATTGGGTAGTCCAAATTAGTAAATGGGAGGTTTCTTGTGCTCAGCTGATAGATAAAATGGAGTTCTAAAGAAATAGCTATGAGTTTGGTCAACTGGAACAATGGAATTGGCTGAAAATTGGGCTCAAAGTCGGCGAAATCGCCGATATGCATATGTCGCCGAGACCGCTAACTTCGCGGGAGCATAATTCCACGAGTTTTCGACCAAATTTCGAACTTTTGGTGTCATTACCATCGGGAAAAGATTCTCTATCATTTCATAAGAAAAAATATTTTTTTTTTTTTTTCAAAAATTGAGCGACATAGAATGACAGTTTCAGAGAGGGGCCTGAAACAGTCAAAGGGTTAAAGAAACTGGAGAAACAGCTGCATAATAAAGGTTTGTGACAATTATTATGTCTGGCTACAAATTCTGTGCCCCATGAGATTACTATACGGATTTTGCACACAATTTTGTTGTTGGTTTTCGAGTGGCAATGTTGACTTTGATGGCAGGGTTTTGTAGGCCTTGAAGTTAAAGGTACTATGATTTATCACATGGGTACCAAGAAATGGGACTGGAAGGTGTCTAGGATACAATCCTATCTCTTCCATATAATCTTACACAGTACATTAGTCCAATCCAGACTTGCTTTACATCCAATTTTTCAGGAATGTATCATCTACTGAAATCAAGTGTGCACACGTTCGCTCACTTGTACTCGCCTAATTGTGGTTGCAGGGGTTGAGTCATAGTCCTGGTCCCACCTCTTCACTGGTAGCTACTGGATCGCTCACTCCCTGCTCTGTGAGCTTTATCGAACCTCTTCTTAAAGCTATGTATGAATCCTGCCTCCACTACACCTCTCTCTAGATTGTTCCACTTCCTGACAGCTCTATTACTGAAAAAATACTTCCTAACATCTCTGCGACTAGTCTAAGTCTTCAACTTCCAACTGTGACCCCTTGTCCCTGTGTCCCATCTCTGGAACATCTTATCTCTGTCCATCTTGTCGATTCCTCTCAGTATTTTGTACATTGTTATCATGTCCCCCGTCCTCCAGTGTCGTTAGGTCAATTTCCCTTAACCTCTCATAGGACATGCCCCTTAGCTCTGGGACTAGTCTTGCTGCAAACCTTTGCACTTTCTCTAATTTCCTGACATGCTTGCCCAGCTGTGGGTTCCAAACTGGTGCTGCATACTCTAATATAGGCCTGACGTACATGGTGTACAGAGTCCTGAACAACTCCTTACTGAGATGTCAGAAAGCTATTCTTATGTTTGCTAGTTGCCCATATGCTGCATATGTGTAGGTGTGCATGCCTGTGTGCATGCATGTGTAAAATTTTTAAGAACAACAGTAATTTAAAAAATAATAAAGTGAAGTTCATCATTATTCATGTGTTTGTTAACATCAAATTCCTTAAGAAAAATAGTGAGGTTTAAGGGCAACCCATAATACCAATTTAAGAAATATGTAGCCTATGTTTAACTGACACACTCAAAAACTTTCAAAGTGCAAATTTTGAGAGAGATTACTGCTTTCGAAATATTATAACAATGCTAACATGCATTACAAAAATTTTCAGAGCAAAATAGGATTAATATTGACAAATGAAATTAATGAGAAAATTCCTATATAGGTAAAAAGTCATTAAGTAATCAAGAGGAAATATGTCACCAAACTTTCCTTTGCATTACAAGGTATTTAGTAATGCTATGTTTAACAGATTAACTATTTTAATAGTTTGGTGTTCTGTCTTGTCCAGTACGTGTTATCTCAAATTCAAGCACTTTAGCATAATGCAACTTGGCACACATGAAATAATCACCAAAATTCAGCACCTCACCATGCATTACTATGTTAGTTTTTGTAAAATCTACAGACGAGTTGAACTCAAGTTGCTGCCATGATGGCAAGTCTTGTCCCTTTTTCTCCATAGAGTCTGCACTGGATTCAACCACGCCTAAGACCAATCCAGGGGAGGTTAAAGCTTGTACATCCTTCAAACTGAAGTCAGTTATTGGAGGACTTTCCCAATGGGATTCTGGACTCCCATTTTCCACTTGGTGCTTGAGAGTAACTTCTTCAAAATGACTCTCAAATGCATCTTGTTGAACTACGATGAAAAACATTTAGCCTAAGTATTTTGGTAGTTCACATCAAATGACTTGTTCTAAATCATTGCTAACTTACGTCATTAGAGCCTTCCTATCAATAAGTATGTATCACAAGCAAAGAATAATAAACAGAAAAATTTAAAGCACTTCCAGTGTAATTCTGCATCAGCTGTAATAATAATTTATTCATCCAAAGCAGCAAGTGCATGACTGTTGCACTAATTCTAATTACCAACAAACACCACAGCTATTTCCCTCAGTTCAGGCTCTACAGAATTTGATTGCTGTTAGCCATGGGACATACAGCTTTAATGCTTTCCATTATTTAATATCTTCCATTAAATGCCATCTTCCATATGTACCTTATAGGAATAATTCATATACTTTGTGAAAAGGCAATTATGAAATAGAAGTTAGATAACCAACAAAAAAAAAAACTATTTAATAAAATACAAAATGATACAATAAACAAATATTGTAATCACAGAATTCACAGACACAAGACAAGGGAGAGAGAGACAAAAAAGAACCCCATAATCAAGATGATTACAGAGAAGAAATCACTGGAAATAGTTGCATTTTCTGCATCATTACCCCATTGTCCAGACCCCCAATCTAAAACTATTTCCCCACTTAATTTTTCTTATAATCAGTTTCATGATAAATGGGACCTCATCTAGCCAAACCATGTTGCCAGAAATGCACATATGGAAAATAGAGGTTCAAACTCCATTATATTTGAAAAAGTTGATTATTTAACAGGAATATAAATAGTACTCTGTAATTGTTTTACATGATGGTAGGATTGCTGGTGTCCATTTTTTCTCATAAACATGCAAGGTTTCAGGTACGTCTTGCTACTTCTACTTACACTTAGGTCACACTACACATACATGTACAAGCATATATATGTATACACACCCCTCTGGGTTTTCTTCTATTTTCTTACTAGTTTTGTTCTTGTTTATTTCCTCTTATCTCCATGGGGAAGTGGAACAGAATTCTTCCTCCGTAAGCCATGCGTGTTGTAAGAGGCGACTAAAATGCAGGGAGCAAGGGGCTAGTAACCTCTTCTCCTGTATATATTACTAAATGTAAAAGGAGAAACTTTCGTTTTTCCTTTTGGGCCACCCCGCCTCGGTGGGATACAGCCGGTGTGTTGAAAGAAAGATAATGATAATAAATAATTATTATAATAATAATGAAAGATGAAGACTAGTTGGTATTTACTACGAAGATTAAGGCCACATATTGGGATAGAGAAAAAAATAAGGAATGCCAGAAACTCTTCTAATCAGGAAATATAAACAGACTGACAGTTTCCTCCAAGTTATTGGATAGGCATATTAATTAGCAAGTTGCCAGAATGAAGAAAATGACCTTCTGACTAGTCTAATAACAATCAAATTCAGAGCCTTCTTTACCGAAACCCAAAATGGTTACCTAGCATGTCTCTTTCTTGCTCCAACCCCCAGTCTTCTGCTTCATCTTCATCCCATCCTAATATGTTCCTCGTATGGACTACAGAACTGGGTGCTGATGCTGCAGCTCCTCCAAATTCTTGCTCTTCTTCTGGTGCTGTTAGTAGCTTTTCACTGTCTACTAATGGGATGGTTTTCTTTACTGACAGAGCAGTGTCAGTATCATCATCAAGCAACAGATTATCACTATCTTTTGCCATGAATATATCAAAAGAATGTGCCGTATGATCTGTTTTGCCCTTTTCAAGTTTTAATACAGTCTCTTCATCTTCCTCAACATTTAAAACTGGAGGAATATAGTCTCCTAAAAGATTTTCCAACTCTGCCAATTTATCCACCTTCTCTTCCATCTTCAAAACTTTGTCTTCCCCATGAGCCTCTTGACCAATGCTTCTTAGGATTTCTTCATTAACTAAAAGTAAGGCATACATGATGGAAATAATTAATATTTGGAAATTAATCTACAGCAAACTCAAAATTTGGGCTCTTTGAGGTAACTGCATGGTTTCCTACTTTGAGGATTATCATCAGTGTAATTACCATTAAGAAAACAACTTGCCAAAACAAGTACAACACAAACCATGAGCTTTGTTAGAAACCATGACATAAATAAAAATTACAATTTGAAATGACATCAAACAAGAGAATTTCTGGTTAAGAGATGATTCAGCAAAAAATACAGTACTACTATATTAAACTTTTGACAATAAAACAGGACACACTCATCTTTCACATAATGAAAAATAAATCATGAAAATAAATTATGAAAAATTAGAAACTACAATGAAGATAAATATCTCAATTTTCCTAAGGATCTTCTCTCTCTTTTTTTTTTACAATAACAAAGTGTATAGAAAATTTAATACTCAACCAAAATATTCTCTCCCTCTCACTTTCACTCAATACGTTTGAAAATTTATACCCCCCACACACACCCACACCCACCCACCCACACACATACCCCCACACACACCCACCCACAGACCCACACACTTACTTATGCATTCTAGCAATGTTATACAATTTTGGGGGGAAAATTTGATCGTATTTGTAATCACTGATACTCATGAAAATTTTGTTTACCATACAAAAACTTGTGAAAAAATGTTTTTCCCTAGAAAGTGAGGATACAATATACATATTCAAAAGTTTCTTGTTTTACCACATTGCCTCTTTCTCATCAAGGTAGGATGACCCAAAGGAAACACATTCATCATTTATTCAATAGCCATCTGGTGAGAAGTGTATGGACATCAAAATTCAAATGACCCTTCAAAGCAGCACCATATGTATATACTGTACTATATATTCAGTATATACTGTACGTGATTGTAACAGCTCACGCTTTGTCCATGAGAGCTCTCACCTGGTGAATACCAGCAAGATGCCATGTCCCTTCTGCCACAATACAAAAGTAATGAACACTACTGTATTCCTAGTAATTCAACCCATTGCTGTATACATCTAGGTCAAGTTATACAGTTATTTTAACACATCAATGGTTATTAAGGCAGCACAAATGTACATTACTATTGGGTAACTTAGCCTCAATTAACTGCCAATGGCTGAAATCATATTTTAAAAATTTGCTGAATTGCATTTATTTTTTTTAACACGTCGGCCATCTTCCACTGAGGTAGTGTGACCCAAAAAAGAAACACTTTCCCCATCATTCACACATAATCACAGTCTTTGCAGAGGTGCCCAGATATGACAGTTTAGATGTCACTCCAAACAGGCAATATCCCAAACCCCTCCTTTAAAGTGCAGGCATTGTACTTCCCACCTACAGGACAAGTCCAGCTAACCGGTTTCCCTGAATCCCTCAACAAAATATTACCCTGCTCACACTACAACAGCTCGTCAGGTCACTTTATATTGTAAATAAAAATATACACCTATACCTAATCAACACTTTTATATGGGTGTGAAGCTTGGGTTGTAAATGCTGCAGCGAGGAGGCAGTGGAGATATCCTGTCTAAGGGCAATGTGTGGTGTAAATATTATGCAGAAAATTCAGAGTGTGGAAACTAGGAGAAGGTGTGGAGTTAATAAAAGTATTAGTCAGAGGGCTGAAAAGGGATTATTGAGGTGGTTTGGTCATTTACAGAGAATGGATCAAAGTAGAATGACATGGAGAGCATATAAATCTGTAGGGGAAGGAAGGAAGGCGGGGTAGGGGTTGTCCTTGAAAAGGTTGGAGGGAGGGGGTAAAGGAGGTTTTGTGGGCGAGGGGCTTGGACTTCCAGTAAGCATGCGTGAGCGTGTTAGATAGGAGTGAGTGGAGACAAATGGTATTTGGGACCTGATGAGCTGTTGGAGTGTGAGCAGGGTAATATTTAGTGAATGGATTCAGGGAAACCAGTTATTTTTATATACCCAGACTTGAGTACTGGAAATGGGAAGTACAATGCCTGCACTTTAAAGGAGGGGTTTGGGATATTGGCAGTTTGGAGGAATATGTTGTATATCTTTATATGTATATCTCTAAACTGTTGTGTTCTGAGCACCTCTGCAAAAACAGTGATTATGTATGAGGTGAAAGTGTTGAATGATGATGAAAGTATTTTCTTTTTGGGGATTTTCTTTCTTTTTGGGTCACCCTGCCTCGGTGGGAAACAGCCCGCTTGTTAAAAAAAAACAACTAGTCAACAGATCCTATTATTGGCAGATACCACAAATATACTCCATTCACAAGATATATCCAAGATGGTGCAATAATACACACAAAAATAGTAAATATATATTATCTCACTTAGTGGCGGTGGCTGCTGTGGAGCATCAACAAATTCAGAATCCTCCTCTTGTGTGGCATACAGAAAAGTTCCTGCTGCTTCAGCTGCATGCATCTCTTCCATAGGATTACGGTCATGATTACCCTAAGGAAATCAATCATTTGTTAATACAGGCATCCTTTTACTGAAAACATTTCCTATATTTACATTGGAATATTTGTTAAGAAACATAGTATTACAGTACACACACATTAAACATATACATGTACTAAATAACAATACTCTACTGTAAAACAAAGCAACAAATGACTAAAATTTATTTCTATTACAGAAAAGTACCGAACAGAGAAAGTCATCAAATATTGGGTCTGTTTGTATATAATACTACTACATTTCTTCAATAATTTCAAGCAACAAACCTCAATATACTACGATCATTTACCTATTTTTTTTTTTTTTTAAGAACTTCACACTCCTGGTGAAATAATGGATGCAGTACATAATCTAGATTAAAAATTGTTGTTTTGTTAGCTACATTAAAGCACACCATTTGCTCTTACAGGGACAGAAGCTGCTGCTGCTGCCGGAATAGGATGAGACTGCTTTTCAAGAAAATGCTGCGTTTTCACAGCATCTTTAAGGCCTGGGAACAAGTTATCATACTGTGCGGGATCAGCTAGACTCTGCCCGATCTTCTCCCCAGCTGCTTCCTTCCATAAGCCCACTACACGTGACATTTCATTTGGCAAGTAAGTTCTGCCAATTACAAATCAGTGTTAATAATAGCAAGTTATATTACCAACCATACTGAAATTCACATCAATATTACATATTACAATGTTGTATAAATAATTACAGTAACAGTAAAAACATGTAAATGGTCCAAGTCAGGCTCAAATGTCATCGTAAACTCCTCTCTATGTGCAGGTTATTTGTGTATGTAAAATATTTAGTAAAAAACCTACATCATCATTTTGTTTCATGTAAATTATTTGGGAAGATAATGCTGGCCTTAGCATGCAGCCCATTCTTTCAAAAGTTTATGAAGCTTTCCATATACATGTATCTGTTTTACAAATCTGGTAAACAATGAAATATTCAAGCACAAGAAAAATTGAACTTAAGCAATTGTAGTATAAATAACTAGTAGTATAAATAAGTAGTATAAATAACTATCTGATCCAAACCATACCACGGGTGGGGTTTGAACCCGTGATCAGAGTGTCAAAACTCCAGCTCGTCGCATTAGCCACTGGGCCAGCTAGCTTCAATAAGATTCATCCAACTAGGTATATTTCTACACCATAGGAAGTTTAGCATAGGTACCACTGTGACCACAAATGCAAGTTTTTACAGACAAATCTCCCGCTAGCATGCTGTGATGAACTCTAGCTCAAGTCCCCTCAAAGCCATGAACACAACTCATTACGATTTTGAGAGTCATGTTGACAGCTTTGAGGGGACTTGAGCTAGAGTTCGTCACGGCCATGCTAGTGGGAAATTTGTCTGTAAAAATATGCATTTGTGGTCACAGTGGTGCCTATGCTAACCTTCCTATGGTGTAGAAATATACCTAGTTGAATGAATCTTACTGAAGCTAGCTGGTCCAGTGACTAACACGACGGTCTGGAGTTTTGACTCTCTGATCGCGGGTTCAAACCCCACCCATGGTATAGTTTGTTTGCAATCGTGTTATTACGATTTCTTGAGTCGAGTCAACTATCTGATATTTATCTGCAGCTCTGACCTCTAAATAACTACAGTATCCACCTGTCAGATTTATTCTGTGCTGAATCCAGAATGAACACAGTATTGTTGGGCTCATGGATGAGGGGTTGTTGAGATGGTTTGTAAAGAGAAAATGGAGAGGTATAGATTGACAGAGAGTATAAATCTGGGGTGGAAGGTAGGAGGGTTAGAGGTCATCCCAGGGACAGTTGGAGGGAAGGGGTACAAGAGGCCTGACAATCCAGCAGGCTGAGAGAGCATTTTTGATAGGAGTGAATGAAGTGTAAGCAAGATAACTTTTAGGAAGAGATTCAGGGAAACTATTTAGCTGAACTTGAGTGCTGGAGGTGGGAAGGGTAGTGCTTTCACTCTGAAGGAAGGGTGGGGATGCTGCAGTTGGAGGGTTATCTGACTGTGATGTCAGCACACTTCTGGAAAGATTACTGAATGGATGATGGTGAATTGTTTTTTCTCTGGGTCACCCTGCCTCAACAAGAGATGACTGTTGAGGTGAAAAATTAATACACTCTTCATCTGTGTCAAGATAATCTAACCCTTAAAAGAAGCCATTTTCTAATAAAGATCACAATTGGATAATTAATACAGTATAATGTATTTACTAACCTTGCAAAAAAGGCAGCTTCAGGAACTCTGTTGGTCTTGATTAATAGCTCCAAACAGTCCTTAAGATTGCCAGTAAGAAAGTAGGAGAGAAAGGCCACATTGTTCCGGCCCTGATTTTCAGCTTCATTGCCCACTTCTCGGATTAATTTTGCATTTCCTTTAATAAAAAAAAACAGGCACATTTTTATTGAAGTTTAAAATAAATTTATGACAAAGCCTGAGATGTTCGACAATTGCTGCCTTTCTGATTCAGCCTACAAACGGATTATTATTATTTTTTTTTTTCAACAAGTCGGCCGTCCCCCACCCAGTCAGGGTGACCCAAAAAGAAAGAAAATCCCCCCCAAAATATACTCTCATCATTCAACAATTTCACCTCACTCACACACAATCACTTTTTGCAGAGGTGCCCAGAGTACAACAGTTTAGAAGTATATATGTACGTATAAAAAATACACAATGTATCCCTCCAAACAACAAATTACCATAATATAAGCCAACTGCATAATTCATCAGTGGGTGTAGATAACTTGACACTAGAATAAGGAGCTAAATCATTTGATACCCATAGTGAGACCACTATAGTTATACTAACTACAAAGTGATTCCTGACAAATAGCACTTTGTAAGTACTCAAATAAACTTTCAACACATTTCATGAACATAGTCTTTCCCCCCTTTTTTTTTTAACACCTCGGCACTTGTATCAAAATCTAAGTACTATAGCATATTTATAGGTCTAATTATTTTCAGCATTCTACATTAGTTTTTATAACTGAATAATATCTAAAATTATAAAACTTGTGCAAAAGTTGTATATTAATAGTATGAATGCTTTATTAAGAACTTGCAAAGTTTAATGAAAAAATTATGAAAATATTTGCACAACTTAATCTTGTCCTACATATGTTACTCCCCTTCCTATCCATCAAATAACCTCTACCAAATATTCTTTCTACCCCTGTATTAATTTCTTTTCTTACTGAATTAGGGTACTAATTACTTTCCCTTATAAGTTTTACTATACAAAAAATACACACTTTCATTGCCCAGGCACTGGTCCTTTGTGTTTACCAACCAGGTCAAGGACTACAATTCAATCCACAGATCTTCAAACTTGATGGATGTATTATTATTATAATCAAAAAGAAGCGCTAAGCCACAAGGGCTATACAGCGCTGCAGGGTAGGGAAGAAGCGAGGGTATTGGGCGGTAGAAGGGGGGAGGGATGATCAGTAGGTTACAGAAAACAACGGGGCAGGGGATAGTGCGGGGGTAGAGGGCAGCAAGAGATTGATGTAGAAAGGGCTGAAGGTATCATCAGAGTTTGTGAAGTCAGTCAGTTGTCAAAAAGTCAATGAGAGAGTCCGGATGAAAGGTGGGTCCATCAGCGAGAAGGGAAGGTAAAGAGAGAGCAGCGGAGCGAAGACGACGTTGGAGGTATATTCTGTGTGCTCGTTGATAAAGTGGGCAGTCTAATAGAATGTGGCTAGCCGATAACGGAACCTGGCAATTCTCACAGAGAGGAGCAGGGCGCCTCTCCATGAGATAACCATGAGTAAGACGAGTATGGCCAATGTGAAGATGGGAGAGAGTAGTCTCCCAGCCTCGACACTGGTGACAAGAAGACGGCCAGTAACCTATACTCGGTTTAATAGATTGAAGTTTGTTACCGAGCAGAGTAGACCAACATTGTTGCCAACGGGAGTGAAGGTGGGTAGCTATTGCAGCAAAATAGTCCGTAAATGGAACACCTCTATATGAAACTGGTAGGTCATGTACTGCTGACTGCACAGCAGTGTCTGCCTGTTCATTGCCCTGTATGTCAACATGACCAGGGACCCAACAAAAAACTATCTTTATGCTTGGAAGAGATGCAGCGTAGCCAAAGTTGGATACGGAGGACTAAGGGGTGAGGTGTATCAAATTTCTGTATAGCCTGTAAAGCACTAAGGGAGTCTGAGACAACCACAAATGATGACACAGGCATAGATGCAATACAGGTAAGTGCTGCAAGAATGGCATACAATTCAGCAGTAAAGACACTAGCCGAAGGTAGTAAATGCCCTCGTACGACGCTGTCCGGAAACACTGCTGCGAATCCTATGCCATCAGAAGACTTAGAGCCATCTGTGTACACAGCGATGGCATGAGAATGAGAGTGGAAGTGGTCAAGAAAAAGAGAGCGGGAAGCTACCGTAGACAGTTGGGCTTTTGAGCAAGGGAGTGAGAAGAACAGACTCGAACAGCTGGAACTTCCCGGGGGGGTAGGGAAAAGTGAGATGCTACATGAACATAGAAAGGTGGTAATTGAAGAGAAGACAAGAGCGAACGTAGGCGAAGGGAGAAGGGACGGAGCAAACAGGGGCGGCAAACAAATAAAGAATGTCTACTAATATCGGTGACCTTCTATAAATGGAAGGATTGCGGAGATCATGAGAATGTACATAGTAGCGAAGGCAATGGGCATCACGGCGATCGGATAAGGATGGAACGTTCACTTCTGCATAGAGGCTCTCAACAGGGGAAGAGCGAAAAGCACCAAGGCATAAACGTAATCCTTGGTGATGAATGGGGTTAAGGCTAAAGAGAGAGTAGCAAGAGAGGCCGCTGAATAGATCTGGTCACCATAATCAAGTTTTGATAAAATGAGGGCAGAATGTAGGCGAAGGAGAGTGCGACGATCGGCTCCCCATGAAAGATGAGCAAGGGTTTTAAGAAGGTTCAGCCGGCTGTGACAAGTTGCCTTCAGAGAGGTAATGTGAGGTTTCCAGGATAACCTACGATCAAAGAGGAGGCCTAGAAACCTGACTGTATCACGGTCAGGGATATGGGAGCCACAGAGGTACAAAGGATGATCGGAGATGACAGAGCGTCTAGTGAAAGTAATTTGGTGAGTTTTGGTACTGGAAAATTTAAACCCATGTGTGGTGGCCCAATTGGAAACACGGTCGACCACATGTTGGAGAGAAACTGTAATGAGGTGACAGTCAGCGCCTGCACATGCAATAGCGAAGTCATCAACATAGTGATGACCAAATATTGGATGGAAGACTAGAGGCCAAATCATTTATAGCAAGGAGAAAAAGTGTTGTGCTCAGAACACATCCCTGGGGTACACCTTCAGCTTGGATAAAGTCCGGGGAGAGCACATTATTAACCTGAACATGGAAATGTCTGTCAGTTAAAAAGTTCTTAAGGAAGGATGATAGATTGCCTCGAAGGCCTAAGGAGTGGGCTTGGGCCAAAATATTATACCTCCAAGTTGTGTCATATGCCTTCTCAAGGTCAAAAAATATGGCAATAACTGAGTGGTTATTCGCAAAGGCATTACGAACATACATATCCAAGCGTAATAAGGGGTCTATGGTAGAATGGCCCTTACGAAAGCCATATTGACGAGTGGAGAGACTGTTGTGCGTCTCTAAATACCACACTGAACATCTATTTACCAAGCATTCCATCACTTCGCAAACTGCACTGGAAAGAGCAATGGGACGATAGTGGGAGGCTTCATGTCCTGTAGTACCCAGTTTGCGGAAAGGGAGAACAATGGCAGATTTCCACAGCTGTGGAAGAACTCCCTGTGACCAAATAAGATTGAAAAGGTGTAATAGGACTGCAAGGGCTGACTGATGTAAATGTTGTAGCATACGAATATGAATGTCGTCGGGCCCAGCTGCCGATGATCGGCAAGCTGAGAGTGTTGCCTCCAGTTCCTGAAGTGTAAAGGGCATATTATACTGTTCTTCTCTGAGAGAAAAAAAGTCCAAGGGTGCTAACTCTCTGGCAGACTTTGAGGAAAGAAATGAGGGGCATAGATGGAGCCCCTGAGAAATACAGACCAGATGACTGCCAATTTCATTGGCAACATCAAGTGGGTTTGCTATATCAACACCGGCAACCCGCAGAACAGGAGCCGGGTCAGGAGAATATTTACCACTCAGTTTTCGTACTTTTTTCCAGACTGCACTCAAAGAGGAAGCAGAGGTGATGGTGGAGACATAATCTCGCCAGCAAGTGCGTTTAGCGTCACGGATGACATCGCACGCTTCTGCTTAAAATCAAAAAGTCTTTCCGTGGTTCTATTGTACCGGTACCTGCCCCACGCAGCGCGTTTTAAACGTACTGCACGAGCACAAGCAGGAGACCACCAAGGCACGCATTTCTGAGAATGCCTGCCCGAAGTTTGGGGTATAGAATGAGAAGCTGCGGTTAAAACGGAGGACGAGAAGAGGTGTAAAAGCTCATCAATGGAGGACGAAGAAGGAATGTCACTAAAAACAGTTAGTTGTGAGTAAAGGTTCCAATTTGCCTGATCAAATTGCCAGCGTGGGTTACGAAGAGGTGGTGAATATGAAGGGGAAGTAAGAATGATTGGGAAATGATCGCTGTCATGTAAATCCGGGAGAAAAGACCAGGTGAAGTCTCATGCGGCGGAGGAAGAGCAGACTGAGAGATCGATGCAAGAGAGAGTATGAGTCCGAGGATCAAAACGGGTGTGAGTACCTGTATTTAAAACATGGAGGGGGTGGGTAGCAAGAAAAGCCTCTAACTGAATACCACGGGAATCACAGTGAGACCCCCCCCCCAGAGGAAATGATGGGCATTAAAATCGCCAAGTAACAGAAGTGGTGGCGGTAATGACGAAACAAGAAAGGCAATATCTGGGATAGATAATGCCCAAGAAGGAGAGAGATACAAAGAACAGTGTGTATATCGCCTATGCAAGTGGATACGAGCTGCTGTGTAATGCAGCAAAGTACGAACAAATAGCTGATGGTACGGAATATCAGTACGTAGAAGAAGGGCACTTTCATTAAAGGTCCCATCAGGAAAAGTATCTGAAGAATACAATAAATTATAGCCTGAGATGGGATAGATAACGGCAGAGTGTAATTTTGGTTCCTGTAAGCAAACACCAACAGGGGAAAACTGGGAGAGCAACATCTGAAGCTCACCCCGATTACCCCTGAGGCTACGAATATTCCACTGTAAATAGGCCATGATTGGCAATGATAAAGATACCTGAAATCCACAGGTAAGGGTACCTACGGACTAGAGGGGTTAGAAAAGTCCATATGCGGTGGCAAAGGAAAACGTTTAAGTAGCGAAGGAACGGTGCATTAAGAAAGGAGTTGCGCAGATGGAGAAGAGGAAAGAGAAGGAACAGAGGGTGGATCAGTGTCCATTGATGGTTTGGTTTCTGCAATATATTCAGAGATTGCTTCAAGTGTTTCAGAGTTCAGAGATGTTGTATGGGAGACAATATTGGAGATGGAAGGAGGAGGAGTTTGAGTAAAGATTGGAGCTGTAATGGACTGTATCAAGGTAGGGGGGGCGAAAGGGTGGAGGGAACTGGAGAAGTGTGGGAGGGGACAGAAGAGGCAGAAACCTGGAAGATGGCAGAAGAGGAAGAAACTTGGGAGGGGACAGGGGAGGAAGGCACAGTACGAGGAGGATGAACCTCCACACTTGTAACAAAGCCAGTGAAAGGGGAAGACCCAGGTACAGAGACTGGGAAGGTAAAATGTGGAGGTGGATGAAGGGAAGGAGAGGTTAAAGGAGATTTTTTGGACTTCTGAGAAGAAGAGGGACAATTGGGAGGAGGTGTCGTACGAGGTATTGTCGATACCGGGGTTTGTGAGGGAGAACACGAAGAAGCGAGGACAGACTGAGGAGTTGAAGTCCTGGGCTCAGACGTCCCGTCTGAGCCCAGGACAGCAAAAGAATTAGATACAGAAGTGACTATGGGACTGGCAACCGCAAAGGAGGCTGCAGAAGATGCGACCCTAGAAGTGGGGGGACGCTTTGAAACATGAGAATAAGAAACACGGGGCAGTCTCCCTTGGAGGCGGAGATGAGAAACCGCCATAGCATAAGGGAGACCTTCTGCCTCTTTGAGGCAACGAATTTCCCGCTCATTTAAGTAGACCTGGCAACGGCGAGAGTACGAAGGGTGAGCCTCATGACAATTAAGGGAAGAGGGAGTTCGACTGGAAGACGTATTAGAATGGTCTTCAGCACCACAGACTGGACATTCGGCTATAGATCTGCAATATTTTGCTGGGTGGCCAAATCGCCAGCAATTCCTACATTGTTGCGGCGTAGGGATCACCTTCCAAACTTGTAACCGATGTCCTGCTAAGTAAACAGAGGATGGGAGTTCACGGCTGTCAAAAGTTAAACGTGCCACATTGCAAGGATATCGTCTTCGCCCGCGGGCAGGAAGAACATAAGTGTCTACCTTGAGAATTGGGAGATTTTGGAGTTCCAGCTGTTCGAGAATGTCAGTGCCACATGTCTGGAAATTCTGTTGGACTATGGTATGGGGCAGAATAACAGTACCACTACAAGAATTGAGGGAATGATGTTTTTTGATAGTGATAGGAATAGTATCGATATGTGAAAGAAGAGAAAGATCATGAGCTTGGGTAGAATTCTGGACTGTGATGATGTGCATACCACTCTTAAGAGCATGAAAGGAAATATCTCTACCAACGTGGCATAGGAGTGCTTTGCCAATACTATGGTCAGAAAGATAGGCAGTAGAAGAAGTCTGTCTTAATGTAAAGAATTTAATCCATTGTGTGGTCCGAAACTGACTGTGGAGAGGGAGTGCATGACGTGTCGGTCTTTTCCGAGTAGAACGGGAAGGTAACAAAGTAACATCATCAGGAGATTGTCGTTGACGTTTAGAAGTGGGACCAGAGTTGGTCCGACGTGGGACGGGCTGGCGATTCGAAAATCGCCGCACCATAGAGGGAGAAGCCGGAAGCATAGTCAAAGGAGAGCGGAGGTCAGACAAATCGAAGGAGTCAGTGGAAGCCCCGGTACCTGAAGAGGGTGAGGAAACAGTACCGGCAAGAGGTACAGGGGCCTTAGGAGTGTCCAAAGAGTGGCCAAAAGACGAGGCGAGGTCAGAACAGGGTGCGGTAACAATAAGGGGCCCGGGGGTAGTGGGGTCATGGATTTGGGACTCCATGGTTAGGTTACTTCTTTCTTTTTGTTTTTAAGAAAAAAAAAGAAAGAAGAAAATAAAAATAAAAAAAAGAATAAAAAAAGGGGGGACCAGGGAGGGATAGCTCCTAGGAGGGATGAAAGGGCCAGAAATCTCCCTCTGTGCCCAAGAGGACCTCAGCACCGCAAGTAGCGCAGATGCAGCATGGAACCTGTGCCATACCCTACCCTCCATACCAGTAAACCAGCAATCTGGGATAGCAACCTCACATCTGCCGAGCTACCTCGTTAGACAAAAGAGAGGGCGGCTGGATATCCACCACAAAGCATACCTCCTTCGGCCACCATCCCCGGAATCCGAAAGGTGGCTTCCAGAGATAAACCCGTCGCCTGAAAGACACCCAAAGCCACCCTCCGGGATACCGGAGAGGGATCGGGACATCCCCAGGCGATCCAGATCCCACGGCAAACTATGCCACCGCCAAGAACCTCAACGGAATGGGATGGACCCCGGTACCCTTCCCCCTACCTATGAACTAGTGTGCCTGTGAGAAAAATCCCAAAGGCCAAAAAGAGGAAGGGCAAAAGGGAGGGGTGGGGAGGAGGAGGAGGAGGAAAGGAAAAAGGGGAGGATGGGATAGGAAAGGGGGGATTGGGGGGTAATTAGGTTTGGTCTGAGGAAGGAGACCGGCAGGTCTAATTCCTCAGACCAAGAGCCTCTTCACCACACCAAGGAGCCCCCCTTGAAGAGGTTGATGGATGTAACCATTAATTTTCTTTTCTCACATCCTATCTTCTACCAGTTGTGTAGCCTGAATGTTTTCTGTTAGCATGAACTTTAAATACATATGGAATATGTACAAGCAGATATAGCAATGAGTAAAACAATGTAAAACAATTAATGATGAACCACTGAACCCATTAAAATTCATGGGTTCAAGGAATTAGCCTAAAGCAGCACTTTATAAAAATTGAGTATTCAATGGTACAAAGGTAACAGATAGTCTTTTATTCTCAAATAATACATCATTGTTTCCAAGATTCTCTGTTTCGATTATTCCAAAACCAGCTTGCGTGTCCTTTGACAAGTACCATTAACCTTTAGTACAGAGTATATAACCATCTTTAAAAAAAAAGCAATTCATCTATAGCAGCTATATTTGTATATTGCTCATACTTTTGTAAGCTAGGGACTGACTTTATGCATAGAACTCCACATGCAGATAATCAATTTACAGCAATCAGCACAAGATTTCAAAATATTAGCTAGACCAACAAATGATGACTATGATTATTGCTGAAAATCATAAGCCTTGGAAAAAAAAAAAAAGATAAATTTTACCCGAGGCAGTAGCCTGCAACAATAATCCAGGGTAATCATGAGCACGAAGAAGGCAAGTTTGTGCAGTTTGTAAATCACCACGCTGCTGTGCCAGGTCAGCAACCAGTCGCCATTTATGTTCTGAGCCTGCTTCTACTGCCAGCTGATGACAGGCATCTAATTCACCAAGACTCAAGGCTAGATCAAATCTGCAAATACATAATGTATTACAGTAACCCAGCACTACACTATACAGATCCCCTTTCCCGAATATTGAAAATCTAATTGAATGTCCAATAATTTTAGTAACACAGTATAAAATTTATGTAAATATAAACAGTGTCATGTGTTTTCTAGGAAATAAATCTATGTAAAAATAAAAGTAACTGTACTGTTAAATGCTTAACATCAATCACCTGGAGACACTTTATACACTGTTTGAAGAACTTATTGCCTCTACAATGTTGACCTGTAATATGACCCCACTATTTCTAAATACAATACTGTACTGATAATTTTATTTACGCTTATTACAATTTATATGCGAGACAAAAATATAAAGAATATATTTGTTATTCTGATGATTTACTGTCACAAAAATTAATGTTCTTAGATCTATGATTATAATGTAGATGCAGCAATGCTTCTAATTACTGAGTAAAACATTTTAACCCACATTACAGTATAACATGTAAATGCACCATGATAAGATACAATTTCTATGACACACAGATCATAAAACCAACAGTTATTCAATCTTTAATGATTGTGTTATACCAGAGATGACAAACTATCATCTGTTTACCTATGCTCTGGGTCGGTAGATACTGCCAGAGCCTGCTTCTTGAATCCCTGCTTTTCCAGAAAGTGAGCAACACGTGTGCGGTGAGCAGGAGGGATTGTTGGAAGTACACGATCAGCAGTATCAAAATCACGGCGCATGACAGCAGTCTGGTACTCCAGGACAGACACCAGTAACTCATATGACACAACATTTAGCTCCTTATCACCAAGATACAGTCTGTTGTCTTTTGGAATGTAGCCAATTAGGTACAGAGTCCTGGAAAGAGAAATAGGAAATTAAAAATGTGCAAGGAACATACTATTAAATTTATTTAGTTCTATTTTCATATTGTAGCCATTTTATAAAATAAATATTTTCTAGTTATCTTACCTATCGAGATGAGCTATGGTAACAATCTCGCCACCTACATAATAATTCAGTCTATTTACTGAATTGGTGTAGATGAAACAGTCTCCAACCCACTTGCCTGTCTTCACAATCTCTTGAACCTACAAGATACATTGCCTTAAAATTTATAGTTATGATCCAGGTGATATTTACCAACAAATCCTGAAACTAAATTAAGTTTATCATACACTTTTAATCTTTTACATCCATCATTATCAATTCCATCACTGCACATGCAACATGGACCAAGTATATTAGCATCAAAGTAAACTATTTTAATGAATAACTGTATCTGTATGACATTTGTTTAGCTATCTCATCTAAACCTTATAGACCGTCATTATACTTCAAGGATACCTTCCATTTTTTGTTTTTTCCTAAGTAAATAAACCAAATATTTTAGCAAGAATTTATTTATACATAATTTTCACAAATACTTTTTGATATAAAGTAACTAGTACTATGCTGTGATGTGATGTTTCTATAAACTGCATAAAACTAGCCTATCTGTCCAGAATGGTCGTTAGTCCCAAACATTACAATTTATTAATGCCCTACTTTGTATAGCTTTTCTGGTAAGAATTTTTGTTATTATTTTTTTTTATTTTTTTTCACAATGGCCATCTCCCACCGAGGTAGGGTGACTCGAAAAAGAAACGCCGCCACTGACAAAGGAAGAACTCCTGGTCCTGTCTCCATGTTTAACCCCTTCACTGTATGTGTCATAGTACTACAGGTTTGAGGTCAATGTCTGAGTCGTAGTACTACGCCATGAGCTCAGCTCACTCAAACTGTGAGTGATAAATTTGGGCCTAGATACAAGAGAGTGGGTCAATGTGTAAGTGTATATCACAAACAAAATCCTGTAGCATGCAGAGCATAATTTGGAAAAAATGGGACTGTTTTTGGTTTAAAACAGCAACTTTGAAGTTTATTGTTGTATGATTTTTATGGTTGTATTCCTGATTTCTTGGTCTCATTTGATAGAATGGAAGATATATTATAGAAAAGATGATTTAATTGGGTTCAAGACTGAAAATAGCTTGAAACTGAGCTCAGAGTAGCTGAAATGTTTGATTTTTGCCGATATTCAAGAGTAAACAAATCACGTCACTTGTACAATACATGTCCAACTGGTGGGTCTAATATGTGTTAACCAATGTGCTGATATTTATACAATTATTACAATATTGCATAACATTAAACCTTCTATTCTTTTTGAATGAATAAAAATTCAAAATGAAGTGTGTAAAGCCTGGGAACATAATAATGAACAGAGGAAATGTTATTTTAGTGCCAGGAATGCCTGCACTGTTTATTCTGGAACCTATTTTGAAATTGGATTATGAAATTTGTGTAAAATTGGCCAAATTACCAATTTCTGATCACTTTCTTGGGTAGCTGAAGTGGTTGACTGGAAGGTTTCTTGTGCTCATTCAATAAAATGGAAGATATACAAGCAAACGAGCTAGTATGTCTTCCATTTTATTGAGTGGAAGACTTAAAGTGGGCAAAATCACCAGTGCGTAAATACTGCTGACACGGCAAAATTTGTTAAAGTGTATTTTGTCACTCTTCCATTAAATTTTGTACTTTTAGTTTCATTACCTTCAGAAAAAGATTTCCTATCATTTCATAAGAAATTTTTTTTTTTTTTAATTCTTGGACACAGCAATTCTCAGATTAGGGGTCTGGACAATGAAAGGGTTAAGTAATGACACACTTTACTTTTACCTATACACCTGTAATATTTCAAACTTGGCTTGTTTCTCTTTTCTCACTGCTCAAATTTCACCAAACCTCTTTACCTCTTTCACTGTCATGACTCCTGAAATTAAAAGTATCAATAGTGTCATGCTTTAAAAAAAATTATCTTCTGAAATGGTAGAGCATCTTTTTCTGAAGGTAATGACACCAAAAATGTAAAAATTAATGGAAACTTATGGAATTACTGTACATTGGCAGTCTGGATACAATTTACCCATTGATGATTGTGCCCACCGAGTCCAATTTTAAGAAAATTCCAGTGCTCAATTGGACCCAATTCTTGGCTATTTCATTAGTATGCCTTCCGTTCAACTATCAGTACTTCCCTACAGAGTGCAAAAAAGGCATGAATATGGCGAATTTACACAAAATTCAACAAATTCCAATTTAAAGGCAGAGTTCAAAATAAATATTGATCATATCCCAGGCTTTCTCATGGAAAGAGAAATATAGTTTAATGCAATCCTTTATTGACTATGTTTAATCCACACAATGAGCTTTTTAAATCACAAACAATGCTACCAGGGGAAAGACGATGGGGATATATATAAAGAGTGGCAACGTGAGTCATGTCACGTATGCTGAAGCTTACTTCCCTCCACCATGCAGTTAACTTATGGACCTGGCCATTGCCATTAGGTGGGTAACCTAGTCTCACTATGTAAACAACTTCCCACAGTGCCAGTTTAACGTATGTAAGCAGTCCATACCTTAGTAATGTGTTAACAAACTGATTTTCAATCATTTCAAACACTAACTGTAGCAGCCAACTGCAATACTAATGATGCAAGTACCAAGAAGAATAGGCATGAATCTAATGGTATTAAAGAAATTGTTAATTTTAACACGCTGAATGGTGGTGAACATTGCAGTTATGTTTGTCAAACAACTGTGGATATTTTTGGCACTTCACACCATTTCTAGATTTTAATCAAAGCACTCAGGAGGAATATTAGTGATGCTGGAAGTACTAAGAATAAAGTGTTAATTTTTATGTGTCATGGCGGTGCACAAATTTATCACCAACCAAAATTTAAGATTCAGATAAAATTGTTTTATGCAACTTTTAATTATATGCACCTCACTACATCTAACTACAATTACATTAATTTTTTAATTAAGACTTCAAAAAATTTCTATGTTTTTTTTCAGTGTCATGATCAAAACCCTATTTTGTCTTTGATGCTCTTCACTTTGTTTATGATTTCATGTAGCACACTACTTCCAGGAACATCACTATGTTGAAATTGGACAATATGCACATAAATAGTGTCACATTTATTCTTCTTTCAATTAACCAGCTGTATCCCACTGCAGCAGGGTAGCCCAAAAAGAAAAACAAATGTTTCTTTTTTAAATTTTAATTTTTTTGACACGCATGGCTTACGGAGGAAGAATTCCGTTCCTCTTCCCCATGGAGATAAGAGGAAAGATCGAGTAAGAACTAGTAAGAAAATAGAAGAAGACCCAGAGGTACATGTATATATATGCTTGTACATGCTTGTGTAGTGTGACCTAAGTGTTAGTAGAAGTAGCAAGATGTACCTGAAATCTTAAGTTTGAGACAAAAAAGACACCAGCAATCCTACCATCATATAAAACAATTACAGGCTTCAATTTTACACTCACTTGGCAGGAAGGTAGCACCTCTCTGGGCAGTTACTGTCTACCAATCTACTACCTAGGGTTACTTTTATTATCCTTAATTACAAACCTACCTCACCAACAAGATCAAATGCATCTTCAATTCCATCTTCTGTCAAGCCTTCTTTATTTTCTCTTGCATTTGCAACAGCTTCAGGACTGTATCTGTTGAGGAAGTACTTACATTAGCACTGACTGCCTATCTATCAACACTTATAGCAAACAATTAAACAGTGCAATATACAAAACTTTAGGTATAAATACAACACAATAAAAATTAACACTGGTTGTTTCCCAAGGCAAGAGACTTACACCTAATATTCTCTCACAAGCCTTAGCATGCTCAGTTCTCTCACACTCAAAACTATCTTAACCCCCCTACCTCCAACTATTCCTCAGATGGCCCCTACCCATCGTACTGTACACCCTAGTTTTACACATTGTATTTTAAACAATTGTAATCCCTCTTCTTTTGTAGATGATTACTTAATATTACTGCTACACCTTGTGTTGCTCTAGTTCTCCCTGATACACCCAATTAAATTCCACGCCCTTTAACTTTGTTTCACTTAGTGCTATGACATCCAGCTTCCTTTCATTCACAACATTAACAATTAATTCTTTTTTTTTTTTTTCAATAAACCGGCCATATCCCATCAAGGCAGGGTGGCCCAAAAAGAAAAACGAAAGTTTCTCTTTTTAAATTTAGTAATATATACAGGAGAAGGGGTTACTAATCCCTTGCTCCTGGCATTTTAGTCGCTTCTTACAACACACATGGCTTACGGAGGAAGAATTCTGTTCCACTTCACCATGGAGGTAAGAGGAAATAAACAAGAACAAGAATTAGAAAGAAAATAGAAGAAAACCAGAGGGGTGTGTATATATATGTTTGTACATGTATGTGTAGTGTGACCTAAGTGTTAGTAGAAGTAGCAAGACGTACCTGAAATCTTGCATGTGTATGAGACAGAAAAAAAAGACACCAACAATCCTACCATTGTGTAATACAATTGCAGGCTTCCGTTTTACACTCACTCGGCAGGACGGTAGTACCTTCTCCATACTAAATCCACACACATTCAAACAACACAATTTGACTTTCCTTTTATACAGGTCTCCCTCAACATACACGTTTTCAGCTTTCGCGGGCTTCACGCATTAGCGAATTCCCAACCGCCAAATTCCCAGCTGCCAAATCATATTCAAGTTTCCCGCCACCTGCGAGTCCCTACTACCCTCCCACCGACCCCCGCAACTAGCAGCCAGCCCTCCCACCACTCAGTGTGGTGAGTGTTTTGTTTGTTCATTATTTGCTATTAAACTACAGTATAAATAATGTAAACCCATTCATGACTGCATATTGGAATAGCTATTCGGACAGGTATTAGACGGTGACATGTGTTTACTCTTGAACACAGCAAAGAATCAAACATTTCTGCTACTGCTAATAATAACAATAGTAATAATAATAATAATAATAATAATAATAAAAATAATAAATACGATATAATTGAAGGAAGTTGTACAAAAATACGAGGGAGTGGTTGACACATCGTCAGTGTGCCTTTGTTTATGCTGGAGTGAGCATTAGTCTCCGTGCTCTTCCAAACATTTCACAATAATTCATTGTTTGGTGCTTGTAGATTGAGTGCGACTGGAGTGGTAGAGGCAGTGGTTGAGGCAGCTGTTGAGGCAGCTGTTGAGGCAGCTGCTGAGGCAGCTGTTGAGGCAGTGGTTGAGGCAGCGATTGAGGCAGCGATTGAGGCAGTGGGTGAGGCAGCTGTTGAGGCTGCTGTTGAGGCAGCGATTGAGGCAGTGATTGAGGCAGCTGTTGAGGCAGCGATTGAGGCAGCTGTTGAGGCAGCTGTTGAGGCAGTGGTTGAGGCAGCTGTTGAGGCAGCGATTGAGGCAGTGGTTGAGGCAGCAATTGAGGCAGTGGGTGAGGCTACTGTTGAGGCAGCGATTGCGGCAGTGGTTGAGGCTGCTGTTGAGGCAGCAATTGAGGCAGTGGTTGAGGCAGCTGTTGAGGCAGCGATTGAGGCAGTGGGTGAGGCAGCTGTTGAGGCAGCGATTGACGCAGTGGTTGAGGCAGCGATTGAGGCAGCGATTGAGGCAGTGGGTGAGGCAGCTGTTGAGGCAGCGATTGAGGCAGTGGTTGAGGCAGCTGTTGAGGCAGCAATTGAGGCAGTGGTTGAGGCAGTGGTTGAGGCAGCAATTGAGGCAGCAATTGAGGCAGTGGGTGAGGCAGCTGTTGAGGCAGCGATTGAGGCAGTGGGTGAGGCTGCTGTTGAGGCAGCGATTGAGGCAGTGGTTGAGGCAGCTGTTGAGGCAGCAATTGAGGCAGTGGGTGAGGCAGCTGTTGAGGCAGCGATTGAGGCAGCTGTTGAGGCAGCGATTGAGGCAGTGGGTGAGACAGCTGTTGAGGCAGCGATTGAGGCAGTGGGTGAGGCAGCTGTTGAGGCAGCGATTGAGGCAGTGGTTGAGGCAGCTGTTGAGGCAGCGATTGAGGCAGTGGGTGAGGCAGCTGTTGAGGCAGCAATTGAGGCAGTGGGTGAGGCAGCTGTTGAGGCAGCGATTGAGGCAGTGGTTGAGGCAGCTGTTGAGGCAGCAATTGAGGCAGTGGTTGAGGCAGCTGTTGAGGCAGTGGGTGAGGCAGCTGTTGAGGCTGCTGTTGAGGCAGCGATTGAGGCAGTGGTTGAGGTAGCTGTTGAGGCAGCAATTGAGGCAGTGGGTGAGGCAGCAATTGAGGCAGTGGGTGAAGCAGCGATTGAGGCAGCTGTTGAGGCAGCGATTGAGGCAGTGGGTGAGACAGCTGTTGAGGCAGCGATTGAGGCAGTGGGTGAGGCAGCTGTTGAGGCAGCGGTTGAGGCAGCGATTGAGGCAGTGGTTGAGGCAGCTGTTGAGGCAGCGATTGAGGCAGCTGTTGAGGCAGCGATTGAGGCAGTGGTTGAGGCAGTTGTTGAGGCAGTGGGTGAGGCAGCGATTGAGGCAGTGGTTGAGGCAGCTGTTGAGGAAGCAATCGAGGCAGTGGGTGAGGCAGCGATTGAGGCAGCTGTTGAGGCAGCTGTTGAGGCAGCGATTGAGGCAGTGGGTGAGGCAGCTGTTGAGGCAGCGATTGAGGCAGCTGTTGAGGCAGCGATTGAGGCAGCTGTTGAGGCAGCTGTTGAGGCAGCGATTGAGGCAGCTGTTGAGGCAGCGATTGAGGCAGTGGTTGAGGCAGTGGTATTTAATAACTTTTTTTTTTTCAACAAGTCGGTCGTCTCCCACCGAGGCAGGGTGACCCAAAAAAAATAAAGAAAATCCCCAAAAAGAAAATACTTTCATCATCATTCAACACTTTCACCACACTCACACATTATCACTGCTTTTGCAGAGGTGCTCAGAATATAACAGTTTAGAAGCATATACGTATAGAGATACACAACATATCCCTCCAAACTGCCAATATCCCAAACCCCTCCTTTAAAGTGCAGGCATTGTACTTCCCATTTCCAGGACTCAAGTCCGACTATATGAAAATAACCGGTTTCCCTGAATCCCTTCACTAAATATTACCCTGCTCACACTCCAACAGATCGTCAGGTCCCAAGTATCATTCGTCTCCATTCACTCCTATCTAACACGCTCATGCACGCTTGCTGGAAATCCAAGCCCCTAGCCCACAAAACCTCCTTTACCCCCTCTTTCCAACCCTTTCGAGGACGACCCCTACCCCTCTTTCCTTCCCCTATAGATTTATATGCTTTCCATGTCATTCTACTTTGATCCATTCTCTCTAAATGACCAAACCACCTCAACAACCCCTCTTCTGCCCTCTGACTAATGCTTTTATTAACTCCACACCTTCTCCTAATTTCCACACTCCGAATTTTCTGCATAATATTTACACCACACATTGCCCTTAGACAGGACATAACATAACATACATGTTATTAATAATAATAATACATGTTAATAATATGTACTATTATTATTTATAACATATATGTTATTGATATTGGCAGTTTGGAGGGATATGTTGTGTATCTTTATATGTGTATGCTTCTAGACTGTTGTATTCTGAGCACCTCTGCAAAAACAGTGATAATGTGCGAGTGTGGTGAAAGTGTTGAATGATGATGAAAGTATTTTCTTTTTGGGGATTTTCTTTCTTTTTTGGGTCACCCTGCCTCGGTGGGAGACGGCCGACTTGTTGAAAAAAAAAAAAAAAAAAAAAAAAATATGTTATTAAATACCACTGCCTCAACTGCAGAATTATTGTGAAATGTTTGGAAGAGCACGGAGACTAATGCTCACTCCAACATAAACAAAGCCACACGGACGATGTGTCAACCACTCCCTCGCATTTTTGTACAATTTCCTTCTTCAATTATATCGTATTATTATTATTATTATTATTGCTATTGTTATTATTAGCAGTAGCAGAAATGCTTGATTCTTTGCTGTGTTCAAGAGTAAACACATGATGTCACTGTCTAATACCTGTCCGAATAGCCATTCCAATATGCAGTCATGAATGGATTTGCATTATTTATACTGTAGTTTAATAGCAAATAATGAACAAACAAAACACTCACCACACTGAGTGGTGGGAGGGCTGGCTGCCAGTTGTGGGGGTCGGAGGGAGGGCAGTAGGGACTCGCAGTGGTTGAGGAAGCGGTGGAGGCATTGGTGGAGGCAATGGCGGAGTCTGTGGTATTTAATAACATACATGTTATTAAAGCATAACATGTATATTTTTAGTACAGTTTATGACGTTTTCATGTATTTTATGGTTGTTCACGGTTCAACAAGTTAAGGAAGCAGTATTGTATTATATTTCCCTACAATATATTGGGGCACCAAACATTCACGGTTTTTCAACATTCGCGAGGCTCTTGATCCCCTAACCCTCGCGAATGTTGAGGGAGACCTGTATTAACATTCAATACAGAATCGGTTACTAGTCCCTTGTTCCTGGCATTTTAGTCACCTCTTATGACACACATTGGTAATGGAGGCATAGTCCTGTCCTGCTTCCCCATGGAATTGAAGGGAAACACTAAGTACAAGAACTAATAAGAAATTAGGAAAAACTGATGACTGTGCATGCACGCGCATGCGCACATGCAAAGCATGTACTGGATTATAGTAATACAGGTTGGCCATCACTAATCTGGCATCATTGGGACCTGTAGTGTGCCGGATTAGAGTGTTTGCCTGATTACAGAGTGGTTAGGTGAGAATACACTTAATTAACCTATCAATAAAGACTCTTTCTGCTACATCTTCCTCATTTTCATCACTGCTTTCTCCTCCACTGCTTGCTGCTGTGGATTTACAACCACCTGCACAATTTCCGAATCAGTATAACAAAATTTGAAATTATGCTAGCCAAAATTAGTGCCGGATTACTGATGGAACCGGATAACTGATTGCTGGATTAGTGATAGTCGACCTGTAGTAGAAAGATCTACCTATCATCCTTGATGTTTATTAGACAAAGAAAATCCAGGGCAAGAGACCACAACTATTGTAAAATAAGAAAAAATGTGATGTTAAATGGATATTAGAAAGATTTTATAGTTATAGAATACTAGAATGGCATCCAAGCAGAGGCAACATGTGCTATAACCACTGGAAAATAAAACATTGTAAGATAAATTAAACACTATATCCATGTGACACAATGAGTATAGCAATGCTCCTGTAACTACTATCACAGTTAACAGGTAATGTCACTGCTCTTTCCATCCTTGTTTATTTAGACCTATTCTTCTTCTATGCCATATATTTGCCTCAGTCCTTCCTCATTCTCTATTTATGTTTACATTACATAAATACTAAAAGTAGTGCTGTAGGTTTTGGATGCTTAAGTACTTCTATCTCTTCTTGCAACCATATCTCTTACTTTAAGAAACAGAAGTTTCATAAAGAAGTAGACAAAGTTTAAAAAAAAAAAAAAAAAAAAAATCCTCACTTGAGAATGAAGTAGTTTTCATCAGTTGCAATGCAGACATAATCCCCATTCTCCGACCAAAATACTTGGCGAGGCTGGATCTCAATACGTCGCACAAGTTCTTGAGTCTCCCAATCATAGAAGGCAAGACCTGTTGAGCTGGAGCGGCATCCCAAGAGATACCCACCATATATACCTGCCAGTGAGGAAAACAGTATGAGAAATATCTTAAGGGACCCTTGAGTGTTGCACAACCTGGATTTCTTTTTTTTTATCCTAATTTTAAGTAAAGATATTTGTGCATTCCTTTGATGCATCATTTTTTTTTTGAAGTAACAAAAGCCTAAAGTAAACAATCATTAATTAATGTCATTAGCCACCACCACTACAATGCTGAAGAACCAAAAACATTAAAATACAGCCATCCATCTCTCAATGCAGATTTGTTGTATTAAGTTACTTTGTGTATAAGTTCATTCATACCAGTAATTTGGTGTGATCAGAAGTGACACTTTTGTGATCAGTGGATCAGCAGTGCACAGCAACAGTGTAGGATGATGTGCAATTTGTATGGTATTTTGCAATGCACTGACAGTTACTTTAACCCCTTATCTGTGGCATGCCTACAAATTAAAATTCTTGCGTATGTGTGAAGGGGATGGGGGCAAGATTTTGAAGAAAATAAATGAGCGAATGCATTTTTATGAAATGAATAAGACTAAAATAAGTGGAATCTGGTGAAAACTTACACATTTATGACATGCTGAAATTGAAAAAAAAAAATATCAGCAACAGTGGCATAAATATGCCAGTGACATTAAGTTTTACAATTTATTGACCCTAGATGAGTGATTTTGCTTTTTAATGTTTAACACTACATACACTACTTTCATATAATATTACGCATGTTTCATGAAGTTATAGTACTTCAAACATGGAAAAATGCATAGCCCAATAATGATCCATATACAGTGGAACCTCTACTTGCAAGTGTGTCCACGTGCGAGTTTTTTCCATATACGAACAGTCGATGGGTCAATTTTTTGCTTCCATACGCGAGCAAAATTTCCACAAGCGAGCAGACCTCAAGGCAGGTTCCTTAACACTGGTGAGGGGCTCTTGCTCTTGATCTCGGGAATTGTATCTCATTTGTTTGTTGGACTATCTTATTGAAACTTGGACAATGTATGATGGAAAGATGTATGATGAAAGAAATCTAAGCATAAATAATGGAGTTCACTTTTCAGCAATTAGCCACCCCTTAGCGGTAATTTCGAATGGTTTTTATGGTTGTATTCTCGTTTGTTTGGTCTCATTTGATAGAAAGGATGATATATTACAGAAATAGATATGATTTTGATTGCTTTCACAACGAAAACTGCCTTGAAATTGAGCTCAACCTAGGAGAAATGGTCCATTGCTTGGCTATTTCAGAGTAAACAAATGACGTCACTGTCCATTCCAATATGCAGTCGTGAATGGGTTGACAGTATTTATACAATTATTGCAATAAGGAATAACAGTAAATCTTATATTTTTGTGTGAATAAAAATTACAATTTATATAATAATAATAATAATAATAATAATATGTATAATAATAATACATATGAATGATATATAATAATAATACATATGAATGATATATTTTATTCATTCTAGAGTATATATCATGTTTCTATGTTATTCATATTGTTTGTTATGTCATATTAGATGAACTGTGATATATAAATAAGCCATATAGATGATATTAGCAAAATTATTCATGAAGCATATTGCCCAGTCTCCAGACAAACTCGTCCTCCGCCGACACCACCCATACCACTACATGAATGATATATATTATTCATTTTAGAGTATACATCAGGTTTGTATGTTATTTATATTGTTTATTATGTCATATTAGATGAAGTGAGATAGATAAATAAGCCGTAGAGTTGATATTAGAAATTATTGAAGTACAGAATTCCACTGGAAGGGATTAATTGCATTTCAATTAATTTAAATGAGGAAAATTGACTCTGCAAACAAGCAAATCCAGTTGCGAGCAAGGTCATGGAACGGATTAAACTCGCAAGTAGAGGCTCCACTATATAATATACAGATTAAATTAGTGCAAATAAATGTTTTTTTTACTGCTTTGGTCTTCTAATACCATTTAAAAGAAATATTGGGCTGTTTCTCACTGAGGAAGAGTGACTCGATACTTTCAACATCATTCACACTATCACTGCCTTGCCAGAGGCATGCAGATACGACCGTTTAGAGGTCACTAAACAGCAAATAACCCGAACCCCTCCTTTAGAGTGAGGGTACTGTACTTCCTACCTCCAGGATTCAGTCTAATAAGTAAAGTCGCCAAAACCAATTTGTACTGCATTCAAACATGGCAATTTACTAGTTAAATTTATAAATACCTTCACAACCAAAGTCTGGCTTGAAAGACTTCTTTTCTTTAAAGTTTTTGAAGAGTTTGACACTGAAGTTAGACTCTCTGATAGCATACTCAGATGAATCCAAAGCCCAGACAAATTCAAGAGCAGGACCAAATGCTTTGTTCCTCAAAGCCATAGCAGTGTAAATAATATACTCTCCATCACCACATACCACCACAAATCTGTTTAATATGGAAATAACTGTAAACTTTGGGAATTTTTAAAATCCATACAACAATAAATAGGAAGTCATCCTTACAAACTAACAGTAATTCATACATTAGTAAACAGGATATACTGATGCAATGGGCAACAAAGCAGTCTTATGAATTTAATTTAAGATAAACAAGTGTTGTCCACAGAACCTGAAGCTAAGAAGTGTATCTAAATCCCAGGGCAAAGGTAAATAACTTGATGCCAGTCATGATGTCAGTTTTATAGAATGCAAAAGTGTATCACTTTACTGAATAATCTAAACTTGTTATAAATGTCTATTCTGTAAAGCAATACAATAAAATACTATGTAAAAAATGAAACCAAAGTTAAAATTTAGTTCAAATTTTTTTGCATACCTTCCATTGGGATTGTGAGCAATAGTTTGTGGATATATATCACAGGCACCAAGATCCTTGACTGCTAGAGGAAGTCGTTCTCCATCCTGAGCTTCTGCATCGCCCATGGCTTTTAGATTTGCCTGCTGGATTTCAGAGTGTCGAGCCCAAACAATTTTGCCACTAACATCCATTGACATTGCTGGTTCCTCACGTCCAAGCTGAAAATTAATAGCTAAATATTAACTTAAAGAATATGTCAGCACCAAAACAATTGCCAAACAATTCATAGCCTGTGAAAATAAAATTTAATCTCTGAATGAATATTATAAACCGGAGAAAAAAAGTAGGGTAAATAAATTTTATGTACAAATTATATAAAAAGATGTATTTACCTCTCATTTTAAATTGCAATA